GAAAGTATATATATAATTATATATACAGTACCTAATTTATATATAATAGTGTACAGACAATAGTTAAACTCAGGAACGAGCAGCCGAACTATTTTCCGCGCTAGACGGCGGAAAATAGTTCGGCTGCTCGTTCGCGATGACGAGTTGGCGATGACGTTATACCGCGTTTTACGCGTCCTTTTTAGCGTCTTTGTACGAATACTGACGCAATTTTTTCGCCGCGTCATAGGAATCTACGTTATTGGAACCCGCGTTATAGGGGGTCTACTGTATAATATATTATCGAAAAATACGAACGATTCTGATTTACTTTCGTTTTATTTTATGCAAAATAGAAATTATTAACAGAATTAATTTTAGGCCAAGAGTTTGGCAGAAGTGTCTTCGTGACAGGCAGGCTTGAAAGCAAACCAGAAGTTTTCACTTGAATTTTATTATTCCTGAAGACTATGGTTCAAAAATAATAAATTTCGTTAGTTTGTCTAACTACTCTACTCAAACTTCTAATTTGCACTATATAATTTCGTCTTACTTATCTTTTCATAATTTTGCTCATTTTTCTACATATGATTCTTCAGTGATGAAAATATTACTTTGAGAATAACGATGACAATATTTTAAAAAATGTTATGCTATTTTCGTGCATTTTCGTCAGCATTACATTTATAATAAACGTGAATAGATGAATAATATTGAATGTACCTGATAAGTTCAAAGGTACATTATATCTTATTATCATAATATATATTATCATAAGGTAAAAGTACTACAATATTACTAGTAAATTGATTCGTTACGTGATTCTTGTCACATGCCTTCAAGATAGTGTCTTGTCTTGTGTGTGATACATTTCTGCATTTTTGATAGGCTAAAATTGACAATCCAGAAAAGAATCTAAATAATATTTATTTAGATTCTTTAATCTAATCCAATAAAAAATAACACTTATGTTTCTATTTTCAGTGTTAGACTCTGTTGGTAAACCGTCCGCTGGAATGACTTCTGCAATTGTATGGATTCACGGGGATTATGACAAATGTCTAAGTATTAAAAACGAAAAACATGTAATGAATCCTTTAAAAAAAGAATCTGAAATCATTTATGGTAAATACTGTGCCATTACAACTAGATCTCTGAATTTGAATCTCAAATCCTTACACACAATTATGAGTCTAAAAAACAATACGTTGATTCAACTAATAGAAGACTTCGCTGTAAGTATTTCTGTATTGATTTTGTATATTAATTATTTATAATTTTATATTCATATTTTTCTTAAATATTTAATGTGATTTCTCACATACTTTATTCGCATGTTTGTAATTGTTCTTACTTTAATATTTTGTAATTTCATAAATATACATCGATTCTCAACTTGCAGAATATAGAATTTATTTAATTTTATAGGGATTTCTAATTGACTTCAATATTATAATTCCAGAAACCATTAGAAATCTCCAATTTGCTGAAATTTCTGCTAAATTCGAGAGGAGGGTTTCGTTATGATGTCTGCATTCCAAACAATTGCAATGAAAACGATTTGAAAAACATTTTAGATTGGTGTAAGTATATTGTATTCTGTCGTTTGATTGCCCAGCGATAAAGTTTAAAATATAGAATTATTTAAATCATATTATTTTTTAATCGAATATTCTTCAGTATTAGGTGAGGAAGTCGCAGATATAGTATATTGCAGAGATAAAAACAAAAAAACAGAATATTCCACTGCGCAGATAATATGCATGTAAGTTAATAAATGTAAAATATAGCGATTAATTGCAATTTTTCTGTTTTATGTTGCTTAAGAAAACAATGTACTTGAAACGAAATGTATATTGAATGAACACTGTATTAGATACACTCGTAGTGTCAGGTACACCATCATACAGAACGGCTGAAATTTATTTTTGTAAAGATGTCATGAATGTTATAGTCGGTTTACAGCGATATTTTAGCTCATGCTGACTTTTTGACACTACCATTTTTTTAAATTAGATGTTGGTGTATACAAATTGCAAACTGTTTATACCGTCTAATTTAATACTTTTACAATGAAATTGAGTATCTATTGCAAGTTTGATTCTTTTTTTAAGATTGAATACTTAAAAAGTATATTGTCTTTTTGAGAAATTTTCAGTGCTGAGATTTCACGAAATTCATGACGATGCATCTGGTCAAAAAAAAGTTTCACTGTATTGAGGCATTGAAATTTTTCTGTATTGGTGACAAATAACTTCTTGTTTGTGTCAGGAAAACATTCCTTGCTACATTGCTCTTCTTCCACCAATCTACGTTTTTGATATTATACATTATAGCCCATAGATTCATGATACTTATTTCAGTTTTTTTTATTGAACCTTAATTATAATTGCCTTACAGTACTTATTTGTAATTTATTTTTATTTGTATACTTGGACATTACTTATTAAAATAGAACTTTATACTAGTGTCTAAAAATTGACACATAATGAGAGTTAGTTCAGAAAAAAACAAATTTTCTTTATTAAATCACTTTTCCTCTCTTTTTTTCGGCAATTTTTTCAATTTGTAATTCTTAAATTTGAAATTGGGTGACAAAATTAACTTATTTACTCTTGTTACATCGTGTCTTTGTAGATTCCTGCTTATACTTACTAGCAAACTTAGCGTTGATAATCTTATTTGCTCCCTTTTACAAGTTCTTAAATACCATATTTCGTTGATTTTCTTTTTGAAACCGTGTCCTGTTTTATATTTGTGGCGTAATAAGAAAAAATAAGAAGGGAGCGGAAGGTAAAAAGGGGGAGGAAACAGTTAAAAATTTTTTACAGTTTGTAGTATCGAAATATGCTTATAAGAGAAGATTTTAGAACTTTTAACCTTTTAATTTATTTATAATATATACTAGTTATACAAAGATTAAAGCAGATTTTACGTTTTTAAATTATACAAAGTGTAACCAAAAGGTACGTCTATATATCGTTCATGTACTCATTATTTTATGTAAACTCTCTACTGTAATAAGTTAAATATATATATTGTATTTTAGTTGACTGAAGAGGGGCAAAGCCCGAAACGAGTACAAAACAATGTACCGTATCAACTAATAAAGGAATTTGATGGAAAATTTGCCATGTGTCTTTGGAATAAAACACAATACTAGTGTTTATTACGCCACAAATACCATATTTCTGTTTTGATTCTTTCTATTTCTTCTGATAACTTTCCATCCTGCATCTAATTTCCATTATTGTGTCAATTTTTAAACACCAGTATAAAGTTCTATTAATGAGTAATGTCCAAGTAGACAATTAAAAATAAATTATTATCAAACCGTTCGTGATTCATTATAAACCAGGTATTATCAAACAAACGATGTTCTACTGTGTTTGTGAATTTAGATTTAATCATATTTGCTCGTGGAAATTAATTTCTGTATTATAGTATTGACAACACCGATTTCCTCTACCTTATAGGTACTTTTTGCCGTATAACATTTGAAGGAAATACTAACACGATATGTATTTAGAAATGTGTTTTATTTTTACACTATGGCACCATTCAATAGACAGTTGTTGGTATTCACGAGACTATATCTTTATTACATCTTAACTGTAGCGTATCAACAAAGTTCATTACGTACTTTTCCTTTTTTTTTCATCTATAAAAGAGTGTTCACCCACAGATGTGAAGCTGGCATAATTGTTTTTATTATTTTCTGTAAATTACTAGACTTGGGCAAGAAAATCTCTTTTCACAACGGAAAAACCTTCCTTCAGGCTTTTTTACGCCGTTCGCACCCTCAGCAATCCGTAAAAATTCACAAAACTTAATGTAAATAACGCCGGCCATGTTCTTTTTAATATTTCTATCTATCTGTTTTATGTGTAGAAAGATTATCTGTACGCGTAACGCTTGTGTATACAAAAGAGTGTGTTAAATACAGTGGTTATACAGTACATTAAACATATCCACATGTATCGCATTACTAATATAATATAAATTTTTATAGGACAATCTTTGCTCTTCTATTCATATGTGTTATCATCTCAACTGTTATCGAATGTTTAATTCAATTACATGTCATTTCTTCAAATAGACTAAAAGGTAAAAATACTTTTTATTAATGTCTTAAAAAGATGTTTAATATGATAATTTCACATTTTCCATAAATTTTAGTAGTTAACGATTTTCAACATTATTAGTAATGTTAAACTATTGATAAAATGTATTTAAAAAGTGGATGGATTTATGCACTAACCTGTATACAAGTAGTGCATAAATCCATCAACAATCCTTTTTACAATAGAATAGCATGTGACATTACATAAATAAAAATAAATTATTTTAAATTTTTCATTCAACAAATATTTTTAACCTGTTACATAATTTGGTTTGATGGGATGTCACACAGCAACTTTCGGATAGTTTGCCAAGACAGCGCCTCACAGAAATACGTTTTATGGAGAGCCGTCCAATTAGGTGTTACACACGTGAAGAAAACAGATGGCCAGTTTGTTCTTTAGATAAAACCTACGACTAACTATCAGTTTTCAGTGGTTTTATTCACTGACCACCGGTGAGCTAATTCTTTATACCAAGATGAAACTTTAAACATATTTGTCGCTTATCAGAATTGCCGAGAGATTTCATTCACACCATACATCAATCTTAGTTAATCTATTGAAGAAATTTATATTAGTGTTGGAAGATTACATTTAATATTACATTTTTACATATGTTCTATACCAGGGGTCACCAAACTACGGTACGCAGGCCATATGCGGCCCGCAAGGTCAGATTATCCGGTTTGCCACCGCACTGTGCCACAAATGAGCTAAAATAGAATTATTTATATGGAAAGATGGTAGATGAACTAACTATGTATAAAAATTAAAATAAGTGTTAGTAAAAATGCCAGAAATAGTCCAATCTGTTTTCTGCATCTGACATTTTTATAATTTTTATGAAAATCAGTGAATAAAAAATTCGTCGACTTCGAATATCAGAGCATTTTTCTGTAAGGTGTCTGCAATGAAGTTTCTAAGAAAAGCGATTACGAGCTTGCTGTAGCAATCGTGTTTGTGTATAGAGGGGGTGCAGTCACGTGATATAACGTCATCGCCCCGCCCACCAAAACAATCATCCGCCATATTGGTTGCTTATTTGACGTTTGCTTGCTCGTTCGCTTATTATGTCAACGTGGAAAAAAGGCATCTTACCTGGTTATGCAGCCGGTTTAAAAGATAATGATTTGATAGAATATAAAGAGAAAAATTTCTTTTATTGGATGGGATCCATACGAAATGAAACTAACGGATTTTTCATCTAACTATTTAAGCACGTGACCCACTATAGAACACAGAGACATAGTAAATTATTTGGTTTTAACAACTAACGCTGTCACACTGGATCCGATGAAGGCGTACAAATCACTTGAAGCTCATAATTATTTGACAAGCAGATTTATTCATCGTAAAATTTTATCAAGATCCGTTCGTAATGATTTAATTTTACTTGTAGGAAAGGTACGTATCTTCATTTGAGACTTTCCATTTCTCATAACATAAACTGCGTTATGTAAAGATGAATTTAATTTTATATTTAGTCACATTTTAAGTTGATTANGCTTATTATGTCAACGTGGAAGAAAGGCATCTTACCTGGTTATGCAGCCGGTTTAAAAGATAATGATTTGATAGAATATAAAGAGAAAAATTTCTTTTATTGGATGGGATCCATACGAAATGAAACTAACGGATTTTTCATCTAACTATTTAAGCACGTGGCCCACTATAGAACACAGAGACATAGTAAATTATTTGGTTTTAACAACTAACGCTGTCACACTGGATGCGATGAAGGCGTACAAATCACTTGAAGCTCATAATTATTTGACAAGCGGATTTATTCATCGTGAAATTTTATCAAGATCCGTTCGTAATGATTTAATTTTACTTGTAGGAAAGGTACGTATCTTTATTTGAGACTTTCCATTTCTCATAACATAAACTGCGTTATGTAAAGATGAATTTAATTTTATATTTAGTCACATTTTAAGTTGATTAAGTTGTATTTAAAATTACCATCAAATTTTTACTTTTCTCCCCATGGTTTTGTGTTGTGCAAGTCTGGCAACCAATTATTAAGATTATATTAATTAGCTTAATAAACCTTTTAATTTATTATAGCCACATTTATAATATCAGGGACTGACTGGAGCAAAATAGACTAAGTTTTTACAAAAAAATAGTCTTTAATTAACCGCAATTAAATTTTTAGTATAATGCATTTCAAGCTTCTCATCAGCATATTTCAGACACAAAGACCCAACATCAGCCTAATACATCTACATAGAGATGCTTGAAATGCATTCTACTAAAAATTTGATTGTGGTTAATTAAAGATTATTATTTAGTAAAAATTTAGTCTATTTTGCTCCAGTCAGTCCCTGATATGATAAATGTGGCTATAATAAATTGGAGGGTTTATTAGGCTAATTAGTTTAATCTTACAGTTACATTTTTTGTGATAACTCAGGATATATATTTTTTCTTCTTAATTGAAGTTTTTAGACTATTTACAAAAAATTAAATTTTTCGAGTCTATCTTTTAAATCCCTTATACACCACCACAGAAGTAACAGTTTTAAAAAATTGCTTTTGAAGAAAACTTCTAATGAAGAAAACACTTCTAAAACAGGTAAAAATTGGTAGAAAAAGTCCACAAAGTTAAAAAAAAAATTAAGTGCCACCCTTTTCTTTTAGGTTCTGACACTTTTTACATTAAAACCATGGTGAATTCTTCATACCATATTAAAAGATAGACTCGAAAAATTTAATTTTTTGTAAATAGTCTAAAAACTTTAATTAAGTAGTTTAATTTTAATTTATGTTGGGGTTAGAAGCGTGATTTAATAACCTATTATTGTTTAAATATATTATTAGAAGTAAATAGCACAGTTACTTACATTGTTATTGTGCACAGGTGAATCACTCACAAAATCTACTGCAGCCAGCTTTAGTAGTGTGGGTTTTAGCTAAGAAAAATGGAAAGGTGATAACTGGGCATTGCAATTGCATGGCTGGACAATCTTCCTCCTGCTCTCATGTTGGTGCCATTATTTTTTCCATTGCAGAAGGAATTAAAATAAAGAGCTCCTAGACATGTACTGACCGACCAAATACATTGGATTGTGCCACATGTAAAAGATTGTGGTTACAAACCACTACGAAAAATAAACTTTACATCAGCTGCAACTGCAAGCAAACGGCAATGCCTTGAAGAAAAAAAAATATATAAAAACCTTATTTGTCAAGTAATAAAACTTGGAACACTTGTATAGACAAACCTAGTAAGAGAAAATTTGAACAGTTTTTGAAAAAAATTTCTGTTCATAATCTAACTGCTGCAATTTTGTCAGTGATGCCAGGTTATTCTAATTCCTTTCTTACAAACCGTGCCAATTTATCCTTCCATAAGAATCCACTTACAACTATATTTGATGCCAAAAAAGCTGCCTTACCCTGGAATCAGCTGTTAAATCACTGCAGGACAGTATTTGAAACTTTGCATCTGACAGATGAAGAAATTGATTTTATTAAAGAAAACACACTAGCACAGAGTTGAAGCAAGGAGTGGCTTGTGCATAGATCAGGTAGAATATCTCCTTCTGTTATGAAAAGTGTGTGTAGAACAGACATAGAGACTTCAGTTTTCACTGTATTTTACCAGAGCTATTTGTAAAAAACTTTTCTTCCCAGCCAGCTCTACTCCCACGAAAAGATTCAGAAAATGTATAAATTTTATAGCATAAAATACTTTACTGTACAGCAAATTGTTTAGTTTGATGTAAAAATTGCCAGTTTTAAGCAAAAAAATAAAACCCAAAAAGTATTACAGTATTGAATAAATATTGTAATTCATTTGACTAATAATCAAAATTTATTTATTTATTTTACATATTATTGGAACTTCAGTTGACAAAAGATTTTCACCCCCGAATAACAAATTGTTTTATAACAAATTAAAATTATATTAATCAAATGGAACGACACTGTTTGATAAGTTTATTAGAGCACAACAAATTGTGACAATTTTTTCAATTGTTTGTTACAGAATTTTTAGTTTTAACTGTAAGAAGTCCAATTGGTAGTGTAATGAATCATAATAAATTAAAATTAAATTTGAAAAAATATGAGTTAGATGACAATATCGAGGTCGACAACCAAATTAACAGCAACGAATATGGCGCGCGCTTTGTAAGCGGAGTCGTGTGACGTCACGTGCATTCCCTCTATTGGTAAATAAATACGTTGGTTTTCTTTATCTTTTGTGTATTCAGTATACTGTATGTGTATTCAGTATACAGTATACAAAATGTATACATTTTGTATACTGTATACTGAATTTACATATATTAATGTATATATTTTGTATACTGTATACAGTATACAAAATGGTTATGCGGTCCGCGCTCGTCATTCTCTCAGTTATCTGGCCCGCTGTGAAAAAAGTTTGGTTACCCTTGCTCTATACAATCTGATAGGTGTTTTGAAACTTAACGTATTAAATAAAATGGCAGCATCAGATTTACTGTTAAAGATTTATTCTACAATGTAAAGTCACGAATCCCTAGGAAAAAAAAAACAATATTAAATGCCGTCATCAGAAAATTTCTGTGTTGCCAGAAGCAAGCCAATTTCACAAGTTTCCATTCCTTAAGTATCGAGAAAATATTCACGATTTCAAAAAATATTTTACTCCTGCACATCTTGGAGTCTGAAAAAGTCCTAGACTCAAAACAATGAGGATTCCCTATGTAAATCCTCATGACGTTTCGCTTAAGAAAGTCTTATATAACAGGGGAAAAGAACAGTATGTCGTCAGTAAAAAATGACCCCAAATATTTTATACTTTTCGATTTAGCTCATCTTGAAACACAGAGAAATGCAAAAAATATAGGAATAAATTTCCTCTAAATTTTCAAGTAAAGTCATGCACATGTTCTAAGATTTGGACTTAACAACCTTTCTATACAATGCTGAATAGGACTACTTTTAATACGATCGCTCAATACAGTACATAATTTTTTATAATATTTTCTAATTGAATTTAATTTTTTATATAGTAGTAAGTTTTGTTATACTGTAATACTTTTTTAAATATTTTGAATGGAAAGCAGTGACTTTAGATACAATAATAAAATGTATAATATCCGTTTCGTTGCATCAATCTGCTCGAAAATTACTTTGTAACTGTAATGAAGTGGAGACTGCAGCATTTTGTGGGATGAAATATTTGTTAATTAACATAATAATATTTGGACACAGTTGTCTTGGTTTATTTTTTGAAGTTGGCAGTATAGGTAAGTTTTATAAGAAAATTCTATGATTTGTCTTTTTTTATTTTGAGTAACATAAAACAGTCTGTAATACAGGGTGATTTCTTCGGGACTAAACACTTATGCAATCTCTCTCTCTCCTCTCTCTCTCTCTCTCTCTCTCTCTCTCTCTCTCTCTCTCTCTCTTTCTCAATTCTCACTTTTTTCCTTTTGTTTTTTCCTTTCTCTCTTTCCATATAAAAATAAAAAAAAAAATGCGCATAAAGCATGAATGGAACGACTGTTTATTTCATGACAAAGAAGTCGATCGAAATACGTTTTTCATTATATCATATTTAAGTGTTAATATTCAGTCATAAGGTACTATGTAAGCGTTTAGTCCATAGTGTATCTTCCTGCAGAGAAAAACTTTAAAATTACCGAGCACAATTGTACTTAGGTAACAACTGCAGTGTTTTGTATAGCTATAGTTTTATATTTGTGTCGTTTTTGAACACCGACACGGTTTCAAAAAAGTAAAAAAAAGTTTTATATTTCTTTTAAATTATCTTTTAAAACAATATGGCTTTGCAATCCGCAGCAGCTCATCTAGATACGTACAATGTTTCATCGCTTACTTTTACTCATATTCCACAACAAATCCTTGTGTTTTCTCTCCCCTTGTCTCATACAACACGTAGGATACCTCGTTCGAATTGTATAGTTTCAGTTAAGATTAATTGTACAGCTAGTTCTTATGTGTGATGTCTCTTCTTTCTGTGTAGTAATTAGTTTCTGTTTTGTCTATCTTCCGTTACACTTTCACAGTTTTCTTATGTATAATAAAATAAATTTTTTTTAGATATGGCGTCTTGCTCGTAGGTCTTTTGTCCTTGCCTTCTATAGCTTGTCTAGTTGTCGTCCTTGTCATTATTCTTGTTTAGTAATAAGTTAATTTAAAATAGCTATACGTTAATTAAGTTAAATTTAAGTTATGAGTATATTCACCATTTTTCCTAGTTGTTTCGGTTACGTTATTGTGCTTCTTACAGAGCTTGCTAGCTTAGTTTCTGTATTATTTTAGTGGTAGTTGGAAGCTTTTACTTTAGTTTCAGCATTATACTTTAATCTGTCTACCAGTTATTTGCCAGCTGAACATTTTCTGCACTCGTTTTTTCATTAAAACAAAATATAAAATAAAATAAAATTAATATGACTGTGAAATTGTATATTTATAATGTCTATATTACTCTCTTATTCACACTCAGAGTCTTTAATTTTATAAAGTCAACACACCTTAATACTGAGAAAGCTCATTTATTCAGCTAAACAAACGTTTTCAACCCATTGTATGGGCCATCATCAGATGAAAGACGTTCGAATCAATGTTACTAATGTGTTCTATGTTCAGTTTTAAACCACGTTGGTTGGAATTCATTTGCTTCAAGAATTGGTGTATTTTTGTGTCGTCCTTCCATATAATGAACACATCATCAACATATCTTTTGTATAGGATTATGTAATCTTTAATATTGATAAGTGTGATGCGTTCCTTTTTTATACAACCAACTCACAGAGTAGGCCAGACATTGGGATCACCATCGGGACTCCCTTTAACTGTTTAAAAATTTTACCTTCGAAACCGAAAATAGATTGAAAGCATACAAGATCCTCCATCATCTCGAGATCTTTGCGTTACGCGGATGCATTCGGATGCAACTCACACAATAGGTCTACTAGTGCATCAAAACATGAAGTAAGATTTATCGATGGATACATGCTCTCGATGTCCATAACTGATCCTACCTCGTTATCCATTAACGATAGCTCATGTAGATCATTTACCAAGTTAAACGCGTTTTTTGTAACAAGTTGGTATCCTTCAATCAGCTCCGATAAGTACTTATGCATACGTTTTTTTAGCTTATAAGTGGGTCCTTTGCATTTCTCTACAACAGGCCTAGTTTCTTTGTTGTTTTTATGCGTTTTTGCGAACATCTAATGATCCTATTGCATATAAACTCTCAGCCTTTAGGGCTCTAATCAGAAGTACGTTTGAGTATTGCTCTAACATGATAGATTCAATAGAGGAACTAAATAGAATTAAAGAATTGCGAAAGTGATTTGTAGCAAGAACTGTAGAACGTCTAATTGCCGCATACAACGATCCAAGAAAGGGCGAAAAGAAAAAAAACCTGATGGAAGCAGCAACATCACGAAATTTACATATAATAAACGTCTATTTCCGGTTATGAAAGAAATCGCGAACTACAAAAACACTAATATTGTATACAAAGAGCTTCCACCTTGTATACGTTGCTCAGAAATGACAAAGAAAAAATTAATGAGAAAGAACAACTAGGAGTGTATGCAATACCGTACAAGAACGACCAATTGGGAATAAACAAAGAATATATAGGAGTCACAAATAAAAACCTTAACGTAAGGGTGAAAGAGCATAAGTACGACGTAGCAAAAAGACGATATACAACAGCGTTATCAAAAATAGCGCGGACTGATGGATCCATGGTTAAATGAGAAGAAGCCAGTGTCATTGCAAATGTGCACTCGCCAACGCTTGCATCCACAACAGAGAAGTGTGATATCTACAGATATAGCTTGACGGATAAATGTTTAAACTATAAAGATGCAACCATTTTACCGTCGGCATGGAAATATATAATCAGAAAGAACTGGTAAGAGGATACATCCACCAGGATCAATAAAACCTGAGTTACTATAACAAATTTTTACATAATGTGCGAATTACCGTATTTTGTATTTTATTTAACTTTATTTTGTTTTTCTTATTTATTGTATTAATTTTGTAATGCTTGTTTACTTAATTTGATTTCAATATACTGCATATGTTCTAATATTATTTAAATTTGAACGTGTTATTCGAAAAGCCATCGATTCTAACGTCTTTAACCTGATGATGATCCATGGAATGAGTTGAAAACGTTTGTTTAGCTGAATAAATGCACTTTCTCAGTCAGTATTAATTAAGTTGTGTTGACTTTATATTTTTAATGTCAAAGATTTATATTATAATAAATTATCATACGTTAGTTATCATTTCGATTCACTTTTAATATGCGAATTACATTTTGTAAAATATCAGTTAATTTCAGAGAGAGAACAACTATATAGCAATTCAATAATGTCATAAAGAATAACGACGTCAATTCGGCTTTCTGCAAACTCATCTGTGAAGAAATCCTGTATAAAACCACTGAACATTTACACTTGCTTGCGGGTTCGCATCTCATCAATGGGCTGGCCACGCAAACTTTTCTAGATTCAGTGGTTTTCTTCACTGGTGGACCCGTGTAAGTAAAGAAACTCTTGTAGGAAGGCAACGAAAATACTAGGAAAAACTGCTTATCAAAATATCCTCAGTTTCCTGAGCCGAATCCTTTCTGAGATAAATCATTTTGTGACTCGTAAAGGATTTCAGAATTTGTTAGCAAAAAAGTTCAACAATTCGATTTCAAACATAAAGCGTGATCTGTAATTTATTAAAAATTTCGGAACTGATAGTAATAGGTCATTTAGATTCTGTTTAAAGATTACAAATAACAGCGAAAATTGTCAAAGTAGTTCTTATTTGAGAAATTCTATTCAAAATTACCATTTTTTATCATCAGATTATTAGGGCTTTATTAGGTTTATTTAGAAATTATTTAGATTTTAATAGTAATGAAAGATATACAAAGAATAAGTGCACAATCAGGTAACTTATATACCTGTATATATATACCCTCAGTGGCTCTTTTAGTGCGCGCACAGGAAAATTAACAAAAATGACCATTTGAATTCAAACAGGCTGACAATCAATGTGGTCGAGTATTGGCAGACGAGACCACACTTCTCAGGTTCAGACTACGCACGAAAAATTCATCGAGTTAAATAATACGACTTTCTTTATTTCACAGATAAATACCTTGCGGTCCCCGAAATAATGGCTGAACTTCCTTTGGAAATAGCAGCTCGTGGAATAATAATGATTGAAACGTTTTTCTTCATCAGGTAAATATTAATATGATTTCTTAAGATTAACACTACTCGATTTAATAAGCAACATATAATATTTGTTGTAATTATTAATAAGATGAAATATAGAATCAGCAATGCCAATATACTCACTTCACGGTTTATCCTGTAAACTTATTTGAAATGAAAATTCAATTTCCTGTTGAAAGTATCCATTTGTACTGTTTCATTGTATTGATTTTACCATAAGTCACTAGACAGAGTTTCATTTTTATCTACGCAGCTCTCTCTTTTAATTAACCTTAGTACTTGTAAAAATGCTTTAACTGAAGGAATTCATTATTTTAAATAACATTAAAAAACAAGGAAGAAATTTTGCAGTAAATGAAAAATTACAAAAGCAATTAAAACATCTTTATTGCCTGCTTGCCTGCCTTCTCGCGGAGTAATTGGACGTTAATGGAAACTAAACACTGAGTACAATGCTTTCAAAAGGAACCATTACAAACGTGCTTTTGGACACAGACTATTTTTAATTTTTTAAATTTTGACCGTTACACATACGCAGTGGCGCTCGAAGCGCCAACATCTATATATATATATAAATGGACGTGTGTGTCCATATATTTCACTTTTTAGCCAATGCTACACATTGTACATGAATGGTGTTTGTATGTGGTAGTTTCCCCAATTCTCCATTCGTGCAATATGGTGGTTGCGTCTCGATAGCTATAAGGGTGCGGGAGATATGGGCTTGAAAGTGGTTGAAAGTGGAAGATTTTCTATTTCGATCTTAAAAATTTTCGAATTCGAATTTGTATTGAATACGAATTCGAATATAAATTCGAATTGGTTCGACTATAGAACGATTGTAAACGTTCCAGAATATTGATCAAATTGAAAATAGTTCGTTTGACTGGACGTAAAAATTCTCTAATTCATCTGGAAATGGGGGACCTAATTCTTGCATTCTGTGAAAACGGGTAAGATTGGCTATAATGTAATTATCTTAATCTTCACTATCGTTACTTTTTGCCCACAAATAAAAACCCAGCGAAGCGGGTCCTTTCATCTAGTATTCAATAAAGGGTTAAACATTTATACCGAAATTGTGAGAACTTTTGCTGATTCAGTTCACTAAATGTCGACAAACACAATTGTTATTGATAGAAACTATTATGTAATTTTTAATATTTTGTGTTGCAAATAGTTTTTGTTTTATTTGGAAAATTAAAATAGGGATAATGTAAAATTCGTTTTTCAGTGGATACCTTATGTCTTATCGGCGAAGAAAAAATGCGAAAACGGGTATCTATTTTGTTCTACTGTTATTGAAAAGAATTATCAGGTAAAAAATACTTTTTATAACGAAATCTGGTATAAGCGAGAAATTTACACAAGAGTAACTTTAATTTATTTATTATATTTGAATTTTCTTGAAATATATTGCAATATTCGTTTTTTCTGTAATAAAATTCTGCAAATAAAAATGAAATGTTTTTATTAGTGATTAAATTTATAGAAATAAAATAATGCTCAGAGCTAATCGCCCTTGGCAGGTTATTTCCATAAACACGGGCTTTATTCAAAAATGTTTGACACAAGTTAGAGAGGTTGAGGCCGACGTTTTCAACGCGAAAACGTGTACGTCGGACGTTCAGCGCCGCTTTCCTATAAGCCTAGAAGTTTGATAATGGTGTTTGTATAGTCATTGGAATCATGCTCGACATTCCAAACACCATTGCCAAACTCTTAGGCCTTTAGGAAAGTGGCGCTGAACGTCCGACGTACACGTTTTTGTGTTGAAAACGTCGGCCGCAACCCCTCTCTATTATAACAAACAAAAAACGAGACCTCAGCGTCCCCTCTCGTTAAAAGTCTTGAATAATTTTTGAGTTATTACAACATTAATGAAAAGAAATTCAAATAACAGTAAAAAGCTTATATTTTTGCATATTTTAAGATTTGCTCTGTTTTTAAACCTTATCATTTACTTACAAAAACAAAAATTACTTTTTTCGTTTTCGGTGTTGACTGCTTTTACATTACCCAAATTTTGGATAGAAAAGTAGCACATGCAAATTACAAAAATTCTTAAAATGAGAAGTCGTATAAAAAAATTCAGCGACCAGTTGCTTAACATTACTAACAACATTTGGTGGCGCCATCTTTAAGATATTTTGCTTAGCAACTTTGTCACTACGTTTTCTTTTTATAATTTTATTTAAAAACAAGAAAATCGTCATTATCTACGACATTAATGGATATACACACGACTCCCTTTATCATTCCACTCCTTAACTTTTTACCACAAAAATTTAACAGCATTCATTCCTCTATCAAGGAATTTCCCTGCGAGATTTCAGAAATTTTTGGAAAAAAGGCACAGGAGTTAAGCTTCAAACGGGGTAAGCAAAATTGTGCTTTACACACTAATATTTATACAAAATAAAAACCTGACTGGACGATTCGAGGTCCCCAGTCACAAAATGTAACAATCTGTAGAATCTTTTTTTGATCTATCACCACATCATAGATCTTTTTTTGATCTATTTGATCTCTTCCTTTGTTATACAGTAGACCCCCCTATAAAACGGCTTCATAAAATACGGATTCGTATATAACGGCGAAAATATTCGTATTCGTATAAACACACTAAAAGAGACTCGTATGATACGGTGAAACGTCATCCCCGTCTCGTGTCACGACAGGATTGGTCGAATCTAGACCAATAGCGGATATTGCACAAATCGTTGAGTTTAAACGAGCAGCGGATCTACTAAAACCATTTATTATTTAACGGCCATAAAAATTATATTTATATTAATCATGTCTCCTAAGTTCAGTGTGGTGATTTCCAGTAACGGTGAACAAATCGAAAAGCGAGATAAGATTAACAAGAACATTTATTAACTTGCATACGACTTGGAGCTTACACAAAAGACATCTGCTATCGTGAACAATTAACAAAAATATACATTTATCAGACAATAGACAAAGAATCAGTTTGTAAACAATATATCTTTTGTATATACAACTGACACTCGATTCAGAGTAATCTTTCAATAACCGGATATAAAAAAATTAACAGATGACGCTTAACTTAAGCGCGGTTTACAATAACGAATATGATTAATCTTAACATTCAGCGAATTTTTCGCTGAAAAATAACTTATCAGGAAACACGCGCCCGATGTTCGATGGGCCACTACGCGACAGAAACAAGCTTAAGCAATGGCGTCGTCGAACGGTGCATACGCGGTAAGTAATCCTACAATTTTCTGTTTATAGCATAGTTTATATGGATTATTCCCAAACAATTATTCGTATTTTAGAAATGTTGAGTCAAATTAGTCTAGAATCGATTAATTTTATGGAAGAAAACCTTTCAAACAGCCGTAGTCCGTAAACTGCAAACGTGGGTTGTGATTGGCTCATGTATTTAAGGACTCATACAACATGAATTTCATAAAACACGGAACGTATCTACCGTGTTATAGGAGGGTCTACTGTATATAACAGTCAGGGAAAGTAAAAATAAATGCCACCTAATTTGTCTCTTTTAGAAAATAATGTGAAATGCTAAGTTTTGCAACAATTTTGAATAAATAAAATTATTGCGAATTGTGACTTGTGAAAAGGTAATGAATTCCTTGAGATTTTTAAGTACACTAACTAATATTTATACCAACTTCTGTTTTAAAACCTAAGAAACGAGTGAGAACAGCAACTCTCCCGGAAAACAAAAATTAAAATTGTGTGTGGTGCCATTTGTTTTGATGTTCTATTTAAAATAAGTAGAGCCTTGATTATCCGACCCAATTAGGGACTGGGGATGGTCGGATAATTGAAAAGTCGGATAACCGAACAGTATGAAAAAATCCATTATTAGTGCAGTATATTATTATATCCCATATAATTAGTATATTAGTATATCGCTATTAACCTACTTCGCGTTGAATTTTCCTCCATGTTAAGCCTATCAAATGTTTTTTAAATAATAATTGTCGCTATTGCATCGTTAAAGATTAGAAAATTAAGCCTCGTTTAAATACTGGCTCCATTTTATGGTCGATCCAGTGTTGCCAGCTAAAACACGTAAAAATAATATTAAAGTAGCCAACACATAGCCAAATATTGTAGCGCCACATCACTAGCGGACATTTGAAGACTAGAACGCTGTCGGTTAACCGAGGTGACGGTTAATCAGGGGTCGGATAATCGATGCTCTACTGTACTATTTACATTATTAAATGTTATAAATTAAAAAAATCTTACTTGTGAGGATAGAGATGAATTTTATAACAAATTGTAAATGGTAATAAACATTTTACTCGTTACTAAGTCCGACTCTACTCGAGATATAATAAACTATCTCCCCACCTCTTAAAACTTTAATTACTATGATTTAATAGCAACAATTCCCAATACACAAACCTTTGCAAAATACAGAGAAAATATTAGAAGTTCAAAGTGGATGAAGAAATTTTACTTACTTTACACACGTACACACACAAACAGACAAACAAACACCCTCTAACATCCATAAATAAAGTTCCAAATTTTCGCCTCTGAATCAATGGTCTGATTTGCCTGAATATGCGTAGAAAAATTATTTTTATTATTATATTTTTCTTTTTGAATTTCTCGAAGTTTTAAGATTCGTTGAGTACAAAAAAGTAAAAATCTTGAGTCGTGTTTTGACCGTTCTTTATATATTTCCTCTGTTATAAATTAAATAATAACTGTCAAAGTAAAAATGTTAGTTAGTAATTAAACATTGCTATAGCTAAACATCATTTGTATTTTTATTAATGTTAAATATTTTAATAATAAATTTTAAATGTAAATGACCTTTTTATAAATTCTTTTTGTCTCTTGACAAATAAAAGTGTGCCTTTTAGTTTTAGTTTTTTCTAATTGGAATACAAAAAAAAAAACCTTTTGGAGAAGAATGTCATAGACGCGTGAAGTTTATATAATTTTTCTATAAATATTCTGTGTTGAAATGGGAAACATCTTGTATGGGATAAAATACGATGATTGTTTTTTTCATAGATTAACACTACCGGCGTTATGTATTTTAGCCATTACGATCGTTCTACCACATTTTGGAGATGGTCCTCGTTGGGATGAAATATTACGTAAAGCCCGATACACTGAAGAGAATTGGCTAAATTACGCTTTGCATACGCAGAATTTCATGCAAGATGATAATGTCAGTAAAGTGTTTTATCGTTACAGTTTTTCAATTATGTAAATATGTTTTATATTTACTTTACTAGAAATTTAAAATATGTATATTTTTTGTGTAGGTAAACCTCTATTTATGGTTCCTCAGCGTTTTATGCCAGCAAAGTATTCTTGCTGCACTTTTGCTTTTCGTGTACAATAGGTAAGTTCACGTTTTAGTTTTATATAGCATACATCATAGTTACGGAGACCATACGGAGACTTTATTTCACTGCTCTGTTCTTTAACTTTATTTATTTTCTGAAATAAACGTTTTGTCCTTTATTTTGTAAAATTGATGCAAAGTTAAAAAAAGATTTCTTTAATAATATATTGAACAAGTTAGTTTCCTGTACGCCATCATGACCAGTGTTGCATTGCTACATAGAGCGCGGTAGTGCAGTGTGTTGCCAATAAATCGGCCCATTGACAGTACCAGGGGGTGGACAGTCTTATGAGAATTTTTATGATAGTTCTTTTTTTAACTCTCTAGTTGGTGGATGATACACTTTGAGCGTTGGTGAGCATTCGTCGCCAGTTGTTGGCAATCTTCGGGGACTCGAGCATGTGACATTTTTACTGTTGAGTGTCCTTTCTCTTTATAATACGCTCCATTTCTCTGGACAGTACACATGTAGACATCGCATCAGTTACTACACTTTTGGACAGTTTTAAGTGTAGTAACTGATGCGAAAAGAAAATGCTTTTGTAATCAAACGCTACTAGAAGAATTTCCACTTATTAAAAAGGAATAATGGATAGTGGTTTCAAATGCAACAAATGTTTAGCCAGCTTTAATATTGCGAATAGTGACAGATTAGCAATTACACAACATATTCAGACAGCAAAACACAAAGAAGTGGATATACGGGCTTCAACAAACAAATCATTAAACTCATTTTTCGTTAATAAAAATTCTGACGACAACCTAAAGGCTTTAGTACTAAAAGAGGCATCTTGCTGTTATCACTCAATACAACATAACTATTCGTTTCGATCAAACGACTGCTCTTCTAAATTTATTATGAAATGTTTTGAGGAAAAATATTGTTGTGCAAGAACGAAAACGGAAGCAATCGTTTGTAATGTTTTCGCACCACATTCTTTTGAATCAATTAAAACCGACTTAAGTAAAACAAATTATATAACTATTTATTCGGATTGTTCGAATCATGGTAATACTAAATTGTGCACAATTCTGGTCAGATATTTTTTACCCAATTCCGGTGCCAGAGTAAAAGTTTTGAATATAAATAATCTTTCTGGAGAAACTTCAGATATATTAACAAATTGTATCAATGAAGCACTGTCAAAATTTGAAATTACTAATTAATTACTCGCTTTGTGTGCTGACAATACCAACAGCAATTTTGGTGGTTCTCAGAGAATAATGTTTTATTTAAAATGCAACAATCAAGTAAACGTAAATTGATAGGAGTTAATTGTGCTGCCCACATATTGAACAATTGCATAAACACTGCTGTAGATTGTCTTCCCATAGACATTGAAGTGATATTAGTAAAAATTTATTCACATTTCTATATTTACACAATACGAGTAAAATATTTCAAAGAATTTTGTGATGACGCAGATGTTCAATATAAAAACTTCTTGGTTACAACAAAATACGCTGGCTAACTCTTTTACCAGCTTTAGATAGAATTTTACAACTATTTAATCCATTAAAATCATACTTTTTGAATCTGAAAAAATGTCCCACAATTCTGAAAAACTTTTTCAATGAAACATTAGCAGAGGAATGGTTATTTATTCATAACCAAGCCTCAATATTTCACCAATTGAAAGTTGAATCACAAGAAATCTCAATGTACAAAACATCCATACTTCTAAAGGAATCAAAGCTAAAGTTTGTTGAAAGAAAAAATGAGGGGTTTCTTCCTATTGTTTTTAGAAAAGTTGTTTTAGCGTTAGAAAAATCAGAAAATATACAAGCCAAAAAATTCAATGATGCTGTGTACACATTTTATCAAACGTGCATAGATTATCTAAATAATTGGGGTATGCTTTTTATTGAAATAGAGGTGTTTGAATGGATCACATTACGCTAAATCCCTTTGTGGGTGAAGGTACAGGAAAGCTATATCTTTATTTCGAATCATTGGTCCGTGAATATACTCGAAGGTAAATTATTTGATGAAGTTTCGTGTGTAAAAAATATGTCACAAACGAAAAGATCGACGAATGATGACAGAATAACAAGCCCTGCTATCAAAGGTGGGCTGAGATTTTTGAACATTTTACAGCGAAAGAAATTGCTTTCAAAAACATTTGTAAAATCGTAGAATTTTCCCTGGATCTAATGCCCCGTCGACCGAATATTTTCATTGGTGAATAATATGTGGACGAATGAAAAAACCCATTTAAAAGTAAGCACATTAGAAGTATGTATTTTCGACAAATATAACTTTCAAATGAACTGTATGGAATTTTATGACTTTAAAGGTAAAACGGCGCTATTAAAAAACTTAATTCTACTGAAAAGTATCAGAATTAATGTTATTTAAATTTTTACAATGTATGTGTAATAATTTAGATTGTTTAAAATTTTAATGTATGCATTGTTGTATGATACTATTTTCGTAATAAACGTTATAATCTTATGAATTTTATAAAGTATTTTTTTTATTTTCTTCGATATGCCATTAATTTTTCCCCCAAAAATATGCTCACCATAATCATACCCTACATACTAAAAATACGTAGACCTACGCTATAATAAATGTTTCTTACGCTATGTATATTTTCTTTATATACGACAGTTTACATGTTCTTTCAGTTTTAGATAATAAGAAGGCTTTCTTCCCTATACCCATTATAAATTTGAGCAGGCCCACAATTGGAAAGACCAGGTAGTGAAGAACGGGCCGCTATATATTCGAAATTTAACACCCATAAAAATCCATGGGATGATACACAGGATTCGATTCTCAATTCCCCATAGTAATAGGTTGATGTCTTAATCTTCTCTAACATCAAAATTACGATCTCGGACTTCGTATATTGAACAGAAAACAGTTGTTGTTGCAGATGATTGTTGGAAAAGAAAGAAATTAAATTATTTTCTTTACGAATCGTAAAGAGAGCAATTTAATTTTTTTCTTTCGATTCTTCAGATTCAATTAAAGCATACAAATGTTAACTAAACAACTGTAATTTAAATGTACTTTGTAAATTACTCATTCAATTTAAGACTTGTAAAAAAATAATTTATATAATTTTTTAAATATTTGTTAAAGCCCAGCAGTGACAGAGTAGAATAACAACAGTGGTAGTTGGTCATGTGTTTCATCCTCACTAACAGACTAAGTGATTTTCTTACTATTATTAACGCCTCTAACACCTAAATAAGTGGCAAGTTTTCTAAAGGAAGTACTAACGAAAAATACCCTCTTGGCATTTCATTTATTGTTTACCTGCTAGTTTTTGCAGTATCGTTTTCGACAACAGATAGCATAAAATTAAATAATTGAACAATATATTAAATAAATTATCGTTTTTTGACCTAATGACGATTAAAGCAATTCAGCATTTGAAATTTAACTCACTTTTTAATATTGACGAATGCGCAGTATTAGCAATGTCTTGAGGTTCATCTCCTCAAAGACACAGCCAATTTATCTGAAGACAACAAATTATCATAATCGAAATGCCGAGTACAATAAACTTTGTAGGTTGGGGTACCTGTTAATTTTTAAAAAGTTAGATGATTGTACTAATATTTATTATTACAATAAGCGGATATTAATGTAGAATGTGATTTTCGCAGCAGATCGATAAGTAACTTTCTGCGTTGTATGAGTCTGAAATAAAAAATACTCCATGTGATTAAGGATACATTTTTTTTTTCAGGTGGACAAAGATTGGACATATTTTCACAGTCTTCCTAATTCTGGCAGGCGTCGTATGTCACGTTGCTCAATTGTTAATCTCTAAAGATGTCACTATGATTGGTTACGGGATGGATTCTGAGTAAGCAACCAATATAACTGATAATATCATTTTTTAATATTTGAAGACAAGTTCGACCAAATAGAGATCACCATTTTTTTCTTTTGCGTTCTAGACAGTACATTTCCGGCGACCGACCTTCCTTTCTAGGCTACTAGCCGATAATATCATATACATAATCATGTATTTATAAAAATAATTTCTTAACTTTGTTTTCGAAGTATTTATTAAAGTATTTTGTTATGTTATTACTCATTATTAGTTTAATTGATTTAATTAGCATAACGTACAAATCTGTTACATGTAAGTTTAATTTTGTTTAAATAGATGGCTGAAGTAAATACTTATTTAAAATGTATGTAAGATTAATTAATTTTTATTTTTATTGTAAGAAAAAATTATTCGTTTAAAATGTATTCGTTATTTATCTAAATGCTTCATCAACGTAGCGCAATTATAACAGTACAATGGCTTTAATTCGGGATAAACAACTCACCATGGCTACTGAATAAAACCACTGAACAATAGTAGTTGTTCGCGGGTTCACATCTAACCAACAGTTTTCTACGTAATATTTTCCTGTCTTTCTTCACGTGTCTAACACCCAAGGGCCGGTTTTCTGTAGAAAGTTTATTGGAAAATGCTTTAATCGTTTAGCCTAGCAGTGAGGCGCGAATCACGTCGACTGCCAGTGTTCAAGGGGGATTTTTACATTTTTACACCACAACTTACATATACTCTATGATTTGCGACTGACTGCACAATTTGGCAAACTCTTGGCCTACGTTTGGAAACATTTGAACTGTCCTAAATGCAATGAAATATATATCACAAAGATGATAAAACATCTACTAATTTCCAATTTGAATAAATTTTACATTTATTTATCGAAATTTTCATATTAAATCTTCGAAAAAGGTTGTACTGTTTCATTTATAATATTTTATTTTTATGTTTTCAGGAAATTCTCAAATTATATTTTTTATAATTATACAAAACCATACTGTTCTCATTTAAGTTCGTTTTTTCTTGGATTTTTCTTTGGATATTTTTTATCAGAGAAACAAGAAATGAAATTGAAAAAAGTAAGTATTTATTAATACTTCATAACATACTGTCTTCTCTTAGGAATTTTCATCTATTAATAAAATTAACAAAGATTGCTTACATTCAAGTAAATTATGATTAATTCGAAATGAATGTTCGGCATATTTAAAACAGATTAAGACTAAATACTCTTTACTTATAGAGGACTTCTTAAACCAAACAGTTTTGTCCTTTAAAATTTCATTTAATTCTTCTAATCGCGTCTGTTTCAGAATTTCCAAACTCGAATTTGTTAATATCTACGAATTTTTAAAATTGTAGGAAATAAATTTTATGTTACTGTTATTATAGTTTTAACATAACTGTTTACATAAGAATACTACTCATATTTTAAGTTTTTCAGTAATTAAATCGAATACAATTACAACTTCAGCAAGTAATTTTATTTCAAATTTCAGGTTACAGAAATATTTTGTTGGATCGGCAGCATTATATTAATGACAGTAGTAATATTCGGATTGCACGGGTGCTTAAAGGACACTTCTCCAAATGAAATTATATTGTACTTACATCAAATATTATCTCCGTTTGCGTGGACAATATCTACAGCATGGATATGCATTGCATGTGTTACTGGACATGGAGGTTGGTAGAATTCATTTCGTAATTAAATTAACTGAATACGTCATTTCTGCAATTTATGTTTTTGTCGCAAACGAATGAAGCGTTTTTCAAACAATTATAAAAAGTTAATTGTATTTATAACAAATTTGCCGATTTAAAATGTTTTGATATTTTTTAGTCTATATATACTTCGTTTGTAAACATACGAAAATTCCACACAGTTGAATCTTCGTATGTTTTCCAACGAAGAGATTGATCTCAGCATACAGAAATGGTCACCTTATTCAAATATAGTTTATTATGCAATATTATGCAACCAAGAACGTCTTAATAATAAAAAATTATGTACGTTTTTATATATGTATTGAAAATGTTAGAGATTGAGATAGTAAACACTTAAATACAAGCAGCACTAAACATTTAGAATATGAATACATGTGTAATAAATTACTATATATGTTTATATCTTATATTTTCTTGAAAAACTCGAAACTAGTTAAACAGTAAACAATAAGAGTACAGTAGAGCGTCGTTTATCCGAATCAATTGGGCACTGGGGTTCTTCGGATAACTTATTTTTCGGATAACCAATTATGTACGAAAAAATATATTAATTTATTCCATCTTGACATTTTTCTCCGTTGCGTGTCGCTTCGCGTTGAATTTTCGTCGATGTTAAGCCTAACGAAGACTATTGTATCGTTAAAAATTATTTTTTTATTTTGTACAAACAAAATAAATATATTGAAAAATATAAAAACAATAAAAAATTATACTTTAGAAGTTTATTTAGTATCAAAAACGTAAAATATTTGAGTAGCCGAAGACATAGCCAAAGATTACAACGCCACAGCACTGGCAAAAGTTTAAATTTGTCGACTGGAATTCCTTCGGATAACCGACGTTTCGGATAACCTGACCTTCGGATAAACGACGCTCTACTGTAGTTCTGAAAAATGAATCACTTTCTAATTGCTTTTTTTACATTTTTAAAACATGAAATTTAACTAATTTTCTGTAGAGTTCTGACTTATCAAAATGTTCGTAATTGTTACCAGTGTTTCAGTATTATGTACGCAAATTACACATATTTTATGAGTTAATTATTGTTTCAGTTATTCTTGGTTTAATTCTACCTCTGATGTATTAAAAGACACGGATAAAGCAGCCAGCCAGTATGTAGACGATTCGCCCCCTGTGTAGGCCACGAAAAATACGAATTGTAAAGTCTCGTTTTTTTCTCCAGATCAATTTATAAACGTGATAATCTTCCAGCGTTTAGAAACTTTCAAGTCACAGACATAGAATTAACAATAAAAATTCAAACCAAGGAAGAAAAGAAAAAAGAGAATAATTTAAATTATAAAATACAAGTCATCTTCACGCTCATACCCCAACAAGGATGAGCAGCAGAATGACAGTCTTGACAACCTTGCAAATCATCAAGGATGACAATCTTACAAATCGTCGTACTTTCTCACACTTTCCTGTTCATAAACACCTCATTTTTCAGTCATACTTATGCCTAGCTAACTTACATTATCTTTCTGACTCAAAATTGTCATAAAGTTTTATTTAAAAGTTATAAATTCATTGCAGTACTGATGAAAAGTATTTCCTTTCATTTCCAAACTGTTATTCGCTACAATTTTTTTTACTCTTCTAGTATTTTGCGTGTTTTATGTAAATTAAAGTCTCATATCCAAAACTTTAAAAATATCCAACTTAATAACTAATTATATCATTTATAAAAGTATTTCTAAATATTCATGTTTGGTTTTTTTTTTCGTAGGTATTGTCAATCGATTTTTCTCGTTAAAAGTTTTTCGTATGTTGGACCGTTTGATAATTTGGATCTATTTGCTGAACGTTCCTGTCATAATTTTCATTTGTGGTCAACTAAGAAAACCTGTTTCTTTTACGATGATAAATATTGTAAGTATGATATTATTTGCTGGTGTTTTAAAAGCATATTGTTTGCCCGGATTTCATAAAATGAAAAATAATGAAACAACTAGAAAACTCAAAAACTTAACACAAAAACTGAACAGTAGAGAGAGAGGAAAACGTAAAAGTTATCAAAGCTGCTTGATTTCTGATCTTTCTAGAAACATACTTAACATTGCCATAAAGATAAACACACAAAAAATGTGTTGTCGTCATTGCTAGTCTCAAAAACTGAATCTTACTATTTACCATCAATAAACATTTTCTGTTAACTTCCCCACAGTGAGGACTATTGGTTATTTTTCCCCCCACAAAATTAAATATTTTTAATAAAAATACATTGTAAGATCTTTTTAGCTGTTTGTTTTTTTTATATTGCTGTGTATATATTGTGTACTTGGACTTTATTTATTAATAGGACTTATTATACCGGTTAAGTTTCTGATTAGCAATAAGAGGGAATCTTAGATAAAAGTCAAAACAAAATATCAGGTGAAAATAAAAATATTTTGTACTGAAGTTGACTAAGACTTTGTCTTATTGCTAATTAAAAACTTCACCAGTATAACGAGCAATTATTTATTGTATCATCATCACAATGTCGGGCTGCAATTTTAATTATATTTTCTAGTTTATGTAATTCATGCTTTCCAACTCAAATTAGTAGTGTTTTACTTCTGCACATCACTCTTTACCTGTTAGCAACAGTATAATGCTAGTCATCTATTAACTCCTTTCTGGGGAAAAGTCTTGAATTGATATCACGTGACTTCTTTTCTACAATGAAAGTTCTTATATTGTCAGTTAGGGCCTTCGTTTCATAAAGTGTCCATATTCGTTTTGACTTTCATTTATTTAACTTCGCTTTCGAGATTAAAAAAATGACAGGCTGAAAAGAATGGAAATTTATAGGATTACAATGTTTTCAAATTGCAGCCCAATAATTTCAAGTAATAAACAGAGTCTAAGTAGACAATATTTACAGAAATACATTCTAAGCATTTAATATATTCAAAAACAAAAGTAAAAACCTGGTACGCCACACAAGCTTTCCATAATCTTGCCCATAACTTTCGTACCCCTCCTAACTACTGAGGAAAATATATATTTGGATATGTGTCTTTTGGTCATGCAATAATTTTTTTTTATATTATCTTATAACTGTTTTATAACTCCAGTAAATGAATTGCTTAACTTTCTCGTCTACATCTAAAAGTGCCTGTATGGAGCAGTCTGTTACGATATTTTACTTAATTTTTTTTTTAATTATTTTTAATTATAAAATAGTAAGAAGCTTAATTTTAAAAGTAGGAAATGGATTTTATAAAAAATTGTAAATGTTAATAACGAATACACGTTCGATCCTAATCGAGATATGGCACACAATACTCATTTATCTCCCCACTCCTTCGATCTTTAATTAAGCACCAAAATTTAACAGAAACAATCTCCCTACTATAGATCCCTACTTGCATTTCAGAAATGTTTTAGAAAAACACAGGACTTATTAAGGCTTCAAATAGGGTAAACAAAATCGTGCCACAACACACACTAAAATCCATACTTATTGAAAACTCCCCGGAAAGTCTTTCCATTTCTTTACGTTTCAATGGACATTTCATAACGTGCCCTGAGTTCAAACATATTAAAATCTTGGGTCTCACTTTTTGACCGATGCCATATTTCTCCTCCCCTGTTATATTTAACACAGCCGGGAACATAACAACAAAATATGTCACTGAAGAATTTCCGTAATACAAATTCAATGATAGTAAAGTTTTATTTATCTGCAAATTTTATTGTATGTAATCAAGATTTAGAAGAGAAAATCAGATGTAAGTTTAAAATATAAATAGCCTATATACAAAAATTACCAAATTACGAGTAAACCGGATTACTGAGAATACATAGTTTAATTAATTAAAATTAATAAACGTGTTGTTTGTAATATAACGCCGCTGGAAAATATTTTAAAATATAGAGTCTTAATTAAATATTCTATAGTTATCAATTATAATTGTACTTTTTCTTTTTGCAGTGGATGATGTTTTCGTATGTCATGGCTGTGACATTGATCGCCTCGATTTTAATGTATGCATTTATCGAAACTCCATTGAATTATCTTCTTCAGAAAACGTTTGATTTCTGTACATTTAAAAAAAGTAATACAGAAGAAGAGTACAAAATGGATACTTTGCCTGAAAGTCAACAAGCAAACATCAAATTGTAAACTAAAAATAATAGTCTAATGGTTAGAGTAGACACGTTTTACCTAATTGAATAGTCATGATATACAGGTCATTAAGCGAATTTTATGAAATATTTCACTGTTGAATCATTTCAACGATATTATATACATGTAAACCCTGAGAAGAGAATTGTTTAAAATATAAAGAAGAAACAATATAAAGAGAAACAGGAAATAATAATTATTAATTTCCGATATTATCCCATTAGAGAATTTCATTTCATTACAGAATAATCAATAATGTTTATGAAAATTTCATCTATCCATAGTAAATGCTAATTAGAAATCGATCGCTAATTGTATATTTAACTAGAAGCATTCCTGATTATTAAATTAATATGTAAGTTTGTTTTATTAAAAGCATCCTGTATATGAAATGATTTTCTGACAGACAGTACAAAGTCTGTCAGTTAGTGGATTCATTCCATCATATACGACGTAAGAAGTCGGTATTCAAATGCAGTACCATGGATTTAGATTTAAAATGGGTTTTTTTAAGCAAAAATAAATTTAATATTATATCGGAAGTAATTATTAATATTAAGCCCTATTTTTGCCATCGAAGAAAATTTCTTGAGAAGTTTCTTGAACTATACAATGAATGCCGCGTGCAAATACACCGGTTTAATGCAGTGTTCAGCAAAGTATCAAGTGCATGCTATTGTTTTGTTATCACAATGTTTTGTGTTATATTTTACAATTTGCTATATTTCACGCACGATACTAAACAATTTCTACTTACGCTTACTGGATTAATAATTATTGTGTTTATAACGACGCTGTTTTCTCTGATAGCGGCGAATCTTGCATTGTCGGTAAGCTTTATTTTATTTCGGATTATTATAGTTTTAGGTGTTAGGTTTAATAAATATAATAATAAAGAATAATGGTTATACTTGTTTAAAGTGCAACGATAACGCGACCGAATACTTTAATAAAAGTATAAGATATAAACTGAAAGAAAAAAAGTAGTGAATATCCGCAGAAATGAATATTTGTAATTTTTCAAGAATTTAAATTAATGATTTTAGTGAGATATAAATGATGTTCTCTGGCAGGAACATTATTATACAATCATTTTTCAAATATTAATTATTCTGAAAGTTATTTTATTATATTTCTGAACAATAAAAAGATGTTATTTACTTCTATTGAGGTTTCGGCAGGCCATAATAGACCTGAACGAACCACAATATAATTCTATGTAAAATTCATAATTCTTTGATATACGTATTAAATATAAACACTAGAATTATAACAATTATAAATCTATAAAATAAAAAAATATTATTCTCTAATGTCCGATATTCCTTATGGTAATAAGGATAATCGGACATCAGAGAATAAAATTTCAACCGATTAATAGTAAAAATTGCTTAATAAACTGAAAATTCCGTACCTTAACAATGTCGACCTTCAACCACAAATATTTAACTGCCTCAAAGTCTTTAACATAATCCTATACCTGCAGAATTTTAGAAATTTTCAACAAAAGACACAGGAGTTATTAAGCTTCAATGTGGATGAGAAAACTCATGCCCATACGTACATACATACACAAACGTACAAACATCTATACATACAGAAAAATTTCCCAAGTTTATTTATTTATTTATGTTTTTATTTCGACATTTTAAAATGACAAGTTTAAAATGTGAAAATCTGAGGGGATCATTTTTTAACTGATCGCCATACTTTCATTCTGTTACGTATAGCAGCCAGGAAGTAATACCTATTTACTTTGGTTTATAAATTTTAGTAAGAATAATTGTCCTATAAATTAATCATATTAAGATTTTACTTTTAGAATATGGTATATATTTACGGAAATTTAAAGAACATGTCGCGATTAAAATAATGAAATGTCATAGGAATAAAAGTATAGTGTTAAGCGACGATTGATACTGTGATTTATGTAAAATACTGACAGAAATCAATTCTGTCGCAGAGAACACCACGTGTAAGTTTATTTGTTTTTAAATTTTATATGTTTAACAACTGTAAATTGAAAACTTTTTTATTATCTATAGATAATAAAAGAAGAGGGATCAGTACGAATTCCGATTCGAAATGCTTTCAAATAAAAGATCTGTAAATTATCATTGTTTTCTGAGTAGTTCCTGACTTCTGGTGAATGTCGAATTGGAATGACATAAAAAATAAATAAGCTACATTTATTATTTTTCCTTTATTTATAGAAATAAACATCTATAATACAATATAAATATTTGTCTATAAATCCATTTTTAGTGGTTACAAAACAGTTGATTGGTTAATTAAATTAATAGATTTTAGTCACAATACAGTAATATTGGTAAAATAATATATGACTAGAAGCATTACTTATTTGACCCAGGCGAAGATTCTGATGACATCGAAGTCGGGATTCTTCACATTTTCAGGTCGATGAATTAAAGAGAACTTCTTTATGACACCTCAAAGTATTTACTTACAATAGATTTTTATTACTGTATTATTCCTTGTAAATTATATTTGAGAGTAAATTCTCGAATAAGATTTCACTCGAACATTTTGATTTCAAAACAGATCTTTTATAAAATGAAATTCTTTGATTTTCAATTACAGAAGGCGCAATTCGATTTACGGACATTCAAAAATGTTCGCTTGCAACTGTAATTTAGAAAGAACCATGGGCGTAGCCAGCAAGGGGCATGGGTGGGCACGCCCCCCAGTTAACCTGGTGCCCTCCCCAGAAAATCACAGCCGATAAAGTGTTGAGCCAATTTGCAAAAAGAAATAAAAAGTTGAAGCTAATTTAATTGGGGGTAGCGTACCGCGGCTCGAAATTAATCCCTGAATATTGGACTGAACTGCAAATAATTGGTTGAAAGGATCAGTGATAATTCTCTACAACCTGACAATGTGAAGTTATATACGGATCGGGTCCGGAGCTCTTAACACCTCACATTGCCAATTTGGAAACTTCAGAACTTTAAATTCGAATTAATTTCTGGAAGTTTTGAGTAAATATTACTTGGAGCAGGACTTTTATATATATGTGGGGACCCAAACGGGGTCCGAAAGCAGGCCATTAACGACTTTTTGAATGAGTCAAGTTTCGTAGTGCAAAAGAGCGAACTTAAAGATCGGATTTAAACAATGAACCTTTTGTCTTGTTAAAAGATTTTAAACAATAGAGTAAAGTTGAGGAAAACGAGGTTGGAGAGGAGTCGTGTTCCGACGCGACGTTGACCTCTCCCGCGCCCTTCCTGGAGTTTCGAATTGTCACCATGTGACGAGGAGAGACCAATGGAGAGGCGACCGCGGTGGAAAAATTGATAAAACCGCGTTTTCGGGAACTTTACGGAGTCTTGGGTTTTGGTGTGTAGTGCTCAACTGTCGGGATTTGGTGCTCCCGACCGAGACGCGAGACGCAACGAAGGCTCTTCCGACGACCTAGGAACTGGTTTCGCCAACCCGTCCACTCTAGGATCGCCGAGGTCACGTCCAG